GCGAGAGGAATTATACGTAGACCTCAGATGATCTACCTGAGATCTTCTCGGAAGTCTCTCTGCCAAATGTGACTAAAAACAAACAAGTGTAGCAACGCTGGCCTGAAGCAGATGTGGTTGCCAGGTGCCCTCACTCTCTCCTGAATGAGAGTTTGGATTCACCACCAGGAAATCACTGAGAACACCAGACAGGAAAGCTGAGAAGAGGAATGTAAAATGGTCAGTGGAAGAGGAAGATGAGTACCAGTTGGCCTTGAGACCAACTCCAGTGAACAGAGATGTCATGTATCCCTCTAGCCTCTCTCCTTTAAGTCTGTCTTCAGGAAGAAAGGCACACTGGAACCCTGGAGGAGCGACTCCCCAGATGCATATGGAGAAATGGATCTGCAGTATGAGATGAGAGACTGGAGCATCTAATTGTGCACTGCACACATTTTCCATCAGGAAGGAACTTGATGTTTAGCTGTGAGGTGTGCAGGTAGCTGACAGCCTCCAGCTTCAGTGGATTTGGGATCTGCTACAATGCGTGAGCCAAGGCCACATTCTTCCTGGATATCCCCCCTCCCCACAAGTGACAGCACAGTGGAGGTACTAGTGCTTGGCCACTTGTGCCCAACACACAACTCTTGAAGGACAGGCTGTGCTCTGAAGTTTTGTATGGATTTGGTCAAGACTTTGTGGAGTGTATCATTCTTGGTTTTCTTCCTGATCTTACTTCCTCACTTCCTCCTTTATTTTCTTTTACAAGTGTTATCTGCCCTTTTCCTTAAACAAACAATAACAACAAAATGCACAAAAAGCCCAAACCAAAACTCTTGTACTTCTATATCCATCTTAGAGTCTGCTTCCCAGTGGAGCTGAGATGACACACATGTTTTGGCACGCTAGGCTTTTCCTTTTTGGCAACTAACATAACATTAATTGATGCATTAATTACGTAACAATTTCTTTACTTACATTGTCTACTACAACAAACTCTTTGAGAGCAACTGCTAGATCTCTTTTTTCACAATTGTATTCCCAGGGCCTAGTATAGGGCCAACTACTCAGTAAATCTTCCCAACCCCTGGAGAGCTGTACCTATATTTGTATTTGGCCATCCTGAGTATACTATTCCAATTTGTGCCAGGTGTGGGATGTGCACTGGATGTGCGCAGAAGGGCTTCCACAAGGCTCACTCATTGCATTTGACAGCCCAGATCATTTCTGCTAAGTCAGTGGTTCTCAAACGTTAGCCTGCATCAGAACCACCTGGAGAGCTTGTTTAAACACAGACAACTGAGTCCTCCACCCAGAGTTTCTGACTTAGCAGGTCAGGGTGGAACCTGAGAATATCCATTTTTGACATGTTTCCAGATGCTGCTGCTCTTCTGGCCAGGATCACCATTTGTGAACCTCTGCCTTAGGCTCCTGGCCTCTACTTACTAGCAGATGAACCCAGCCTCTTTCTGAGTTGCCTTCATGTGCTCTTGCTCTTTCACCAATCTTATCAATGCTCACATGCCCCAAGCACTGCCCACTTGTTTGCCTTTTCCTTAGGCAACCTCAGCCTCAAGCAGAGCTTTTTTTTCCCCCGGGCCCCCCCGCACCCCCCAAGAGCGACTATATCTCATATTCTTGTCTTAAGCCCATGCTTTGCTCTTCGGTTCAGAGTCAAAATTCCATCTACTAGTTAAAAAAAAGAAAAAGAAAAAAGCTGCATTGTGTATAGGGGGATCCTGGTTTACAGTAACAGCAGCAAGTAAAACAGATGACAACCACTTTGAACCTCAGTTTTCTCATTAGTAAAAATGAGAACAAGAATACTGATCCATAAAGAATTGTCATTAAGGTCAAATAAGCAAATGAATATAGGGCCAGAAATTATAGCTGAGGACATGTAAGATATTAAGCAGTGGATAGAGCTGGAGGCCGTTATTCTAAGTGAAGTAACTCACTTATTTGAAAACCAAATATTGTATGTTCTCAGTTGTAAGTGGGAGCCAAGCTATGGGCACACAAAGGTATACAGAGTGGTAGAATGGACACTGGAGACTCAGGAGTGGGTGAGGAGACGGGAAGGAGGGATGAAAAGAAACTACATATTGGGTACAATGTATACTACTTGGGGGACTGTTACACTAACATCTCAGATTTCACCACTATGCAATTCATTCATGTAATAATAAACCACTTTCACGCTACAAGCTATTGAAATAGAAAATATTTAAAAAAATAAAAATATGTTAAGTGATGTCCACAACAGGCAAATGATCAAATGTGTGCCAGTTAGACTTTGGGGGGGATGAAGGGAAACATGTTTAATTGCATAGGATTTTTTAAATAGCTCTATTTTCTAAAATGTATCTTTCCTTAGTACCCTTCCCCTACAAAAGAGACTATGAATTTAGAATCTTCTGTTTAAAGTTCCGCAAAAATGGTATTTTTTCCTCTCCAGAAAAAATAACAGAAACGCTATTTCAAAATCAAAATCTCCTTATTTTCCTGGAATAGAATGAGGCAAGTATTTAGTACTTTATATATGTTATTAGATACTATATTTTTATTTCACTATTTATATCAAACCTAGAAAGTTCAGAAAAAAACTGCTGAAGCTATCATGAATGTAAATTTAATTTCTTCATAAAACCCAGAAGAGACAGCAAACTCAATATCCTACAACAAATACATCTAGAAAATAAGTTCTTTATCAAAATGCATTCTTGCTTCCTTCAAGCATGGTATAAAGTGGTAATAAGCTTATCACAGGGGAAAACAACTATTTTTTGAGCCATTAACATCTAACAGTTCCAGAATGCAACAATTGTTACCAACTTGCGACAATTCCATTATATACATGGCTAAAAAGTTTTCCTGGGAGAGTGTACAAAATATATTACCAAACCTAACAAAAGTAAGCCATATAATAAAAAATGACTGAATAAAAACACAGAAACAAAACCAAAAATGACACACACACAAAAGAAGAAAAAAAGAGAAATCCTTTCTAAATAGGGAAAACATTTAATAAATTCCTTGAAGACAAGAGTTGGCTCTGAGAATGCATGCCTACCATACAATCAACCCTGTGTATTGCTATTACCATTTTTTGCCTCAGTAACAGTGGACTACTCCAGCTAAAAGACCACAGGTAACCTTTGCGGCTGACCTGTGAAACAAAGATTTCCAATTTCAGCTGTCACTTTCATAGAGTAGCACAATTAAAACAACAGAAACGCTTACATTTAATTTCCTGAACATCAGATATAATGCTACAAATGGGTGGGAAATGCAAACGTGGAAAAACAAATAAGTTAATAAGGACATGAACGACTGTACTCAATACCAAAGATGATACTACCATTTTACAGAGGAAGAAATTAAAATTGAGAGAGGTTAACAATTGTGCCCAAGGCCACACAGCTACTAAGCAAACCAGATCTATGCTCAAAGCCCATGCAGGACTGTAACCACTGTACCCCACTTCCTTCTTAGCTTTATACTAAGCTGTGCCATTTGCCCCGGGGCTGGCTTAAAGGCCAGCCACACTCCCTACACTTCACCGCTAATAACATTTAGGATTACAGTTCCTCTCATGCCCTATAAATAAAACAAGAACAGATCTTTTTCTCTAACATCTGCACTAAAGCTGTGGAACAATATGCCGTTATACTTGAAAGGAATATACATAAAGCCTGACTGAAGGTCTGAGGTAAGCTTCTAAACACCAAAGTGTGATTATAACCTAATGGGGGTCCTTCCTGAACTTCACTGAAGCACTGTGATCCACTGAGTCATTCTAAAACAGTCTTAGAGAAGGAATGGCTGCAAGCATGACAGACAAGTTCTATATGTTAAGCAAAAAGTTGACCTAATTTAATGGTTCATAATTTTAAAAGTTGATTGCAAATTCAATTATTTTATTCTATTTATTTTATTTTGAGAGACAAGGTCTTGCTCTGTCTCCTTGGCTGGAGTGCAGTGGTGTAATCATGGCTCACTGCAGCCTCGACCTTCTGGGCTCAAGTGATCCTCCCGCCTCAACTTCCTGAGTAGCTGGGACTACAGGAGTGCAACACCACGTCCAGCTATTTTTTGTAGTTTTTATAGAGACGGGGTTTCACCATGTTTCCCAGGCTGGCCTTGAACTCCTAGTCTCAAGTGATCTTCCTGCCTCAGCTTCCCAAAGTCTTGGGACTATAGGCATGAGCCACCGTACTTGGCCACAAATTCTTTTTATTCATTTTTTTTTGAGATGGAGTCTTGCTCTGTCACCCAGGCTGGAGTACAGTGGCACAATCTGGGCTCACTGCAACCTATGCCGGGTTCAAGCAATTCTTCTGCCTCTGCCTCCTGACTAGCTGGGACTACAGGCACACACCACCATGCCTGGCTAATTTTTGTACTTTTAGTAGAGATGGGGTGTCACCATTTTGGCCAGGTTGGTCTCGAACTCCCGACCTTGTGATTCACCTGCCTCGGCCTCCCAAAGTGCTGGGATTACAGGCATGAGCCACCACACCCGGCCACAGATTCATTTTTAAAAACTCACCAATTCTTTTTAATTTGGGACAGACATTGATTATCAATATGAAACATGCCCTTTTCTAAGTATTTATTTTCTGAAAAAAATATATATATTTAAATATCTGAGGCAGAAATTAATGGAAAATTTCAAGATACATGTGACAACCTTTAGATCCCAAAGGCATTTGTTCACTTGTTTGATAATTGTAATGCAATTCATTTGCTGTATGAAATGAAACAGTTTTTGAGTAAGAGTCATCTAAGCTGTGGGAGTAACAGAATTATTTCTCAGCTATATCAACACAGAGATTTCACAAACTGAAGCCCTGTTGTCCATCAAGGCAGCCACACAGCACCACAGTGGTTTCTGTGGTTGGACCTCTTCTCTCCCATTAGAGGCAACTGGCGGAACTGGGAGTCTGGCATTTCAGAACAGAATAGGATATAGGTTTCTCCCATCCTCCTGCAGTAGACTTAACAAAAAAAGCCCTTACCAGGAAGTTCCAGTTAGCTTCAATTTGAGTCACCATGCCGGAGAGGAACATGCCCAGAAAGAGAAGTGAAAAGAAAAACGCCGTCACGGACACAAACATGACCCATCCTTGTAGCAGAGGTAGAGGAACATTGGAGGAGGCAACCAAAATCCAGACGAGACCCCCGAACAGCTGAAAGAAAAAAAGAAAGAGGGTAATTGGTTTGCTTAAAAGATACCTTTCATACAACAGAATTCAACATGCTTGTATTACCCTCAGTGTTGCCTTCATTTTCCTCCCAGACCCCTGCACATATTCCAGCAACCCCACCCCTTCGATTTTCTCCTTATCATGCAAGATGCCTTCTTTCCTCAGGTGCAAGACCAATCCTTTGGCTTGGAGAACTGATCCATCTCCATACCTGTATCTTCAAGTTGGACTCTCTTCTTCAACCCATGTACATGCCCAGCATTCCTTCATCATTGACAAATACCTTCCTTTGACTTTATCGATTCTCTGACTACCACCTTTTCAATGAAGGTATTTTTTCAGTCAACCACACAGTAAGGGGAACATCACACACCAGGGCCTGTTGTGGGCTGGGGGGAGTGGGGAGGGATAGCATTAGGAGATCTACCTAATGTAAATGACGAGTTAATGGGTGCAGCACACCAAGATGGCACATGTATACATATGTAACAAACCTGCATGTTGGGCACATGTACAATAGAACATAAAGCATAAAAAAAACAAAAAAAAAAAGAAAATCATTGTCTACCCCAAGGCCATGAAGATACTCTGTTAGGTGTTTCTTCTAAAACCTTCATTATTTTTACTTTTCACATTTAAATCTACAACCTGTCTTATACTGATTTTTGCATTTGGTATGAGGTAGGGGGTCAAGATTCAGTTTTTCCCCATATGTATATTCAATTGACCCAGTGTCATTTGCTGAAATGACTATACTTTCAAGAGTCTACTGTTGTCAATCAGGAGGCCATATGCTGTGGGTTTGGTTCTGTTCCATTCTGTTCCACTGGGCTATCATTATGACAAAATATTGCACTGTCTTTAGACTAATCCCCTAAGCACCTGACATTTTAAAAAATCAGTAAATAGCATCATTTAAAAACTTCATGTTCTATTTGTCATGAGAATATAAATAATATATACATTTACTGATCTTAAAAAAAATCATCTTTGCCTGGTCTCCACTTCCTCTCCCTGAAGTTGCTCTTCATATCACTATAAACCAGCTCCTGATCTCATTGCTCCTTAGAGAGTTTGTTAGTAAAAAATGGCTAGAATAATAGTTGCAGCTATTGTATATGGTGGTAAACAATAAAAACTACCATCATTTATTGAGTATCCATTATATATTGGACAGAGGAATAAGTACTTCACATATCTGTAGATCTAAGTATCAGTAAATACCTATTACATTTCAGGCTTTATGCCAAGTGCTGGGAATCAAATGGTAAACAGGTTACACTTGGTTTCTGTCACCACAGAACTCACAGTCTATTAAAGAGACAAGTAAGTAAGTGATTAAAAAGCTGCTTCATAAATGTCACAATTGGGCAAATACTGGGCACTGCAGGTCCACACACCAAGGGCTCTAAATCCAGATTTGAAAATGCTTCCTAGAAGGAACGATTCAAAGCACAGGGCTATGGGATAAAGCAGAGGGAGGAAAGGGAGGTTCCAGGACGGGAGCTGAGAAGAGCCCCGCACAGGTGAAGAACAAAGCTCAGCAAGACAGGAGGGTCATGCGCTGGTGGGGAATGGAGAGAACTGCACTGGAGACTGAGCGAGGAGGTGCTGAAGCTCGGGCCAAGGAACCGAACTTCACCTAAGGGCGACGGCAAAGCCAAGATCATCTTGAGCAGAAACTAGCATGGTCAAGATTTGCCTTTGGAAATTTTTCTCTGGCTAGAATGTGAGAACAGACTGGAGAAGAAAGGGTGGATGGCGGGGGAGCACACCTCTGTGTTTCTCTAGCTATATCAACACAGAGATTTCACTAACATGGTGTAACACAGGAGACTGTTACACCAACAGAGTGTAAGAATCAGCACACTGAGGACAGAGAGAAAGGAATAGATTAGAGTGAAATTTAGAAGTAGACATGATAATAGTTGGTAACGGATCAGATGTGAGACACGACAGAAAAAGGACAGATAAGGAAAATCCTCAGATTTCTGGCATGGGCCACTAGGCTTGAGGGAACACTGCAGGAGAAATGGTGTGAAGACAATGAGTTTTATGCATCTATCACCATTGGTCTCCTCCATACACCATGCATTCTTTGCATGGCATTCCAAGCCATTTGTGACCTGACATGTCTTTTTCATCCTTGTCTCTTGCCACTATGCTCCTCACATTTTGTATTAGGGCGAGAAAAAAAATCCACAGTTCCAAGACAAAGATCTTTCACATCAGAGTGGCCTGTTACTTGCATGCCGTAAATGTCATTTCCTCCCTATGTGTACTTGAGATTCTCCCACTCATATCTAATCTTGAGCACATCATTTACAACATTTTTCCTGAGATCCACCCCTGCTCAGTTATGCCTCCCTCCTCTGGGCAACCTCCCTATTGGGCTTTGTTACATCAGTGAGATACACTGTAATTAAATCCCTTTGGCTCTCCATCTGCACTACCAGGCCTTCTTGGCAGCATACTGTTTTATATGTCTCTGCATCCCAAGCCATTTATTAATCTATACAATAATCCTTTACTAACCATCAGTCAGGTACTATGCTAGATTTGGCAGCACAAAACCTTAGGCTACATACCTGCCCTGAAGACACCTCAAGCGAAAATCAATCTCTCTCTCTCACACACACACACACACACACACACACACACACACCCCCAGAGTGAGAGATAGAGCACGCGCTCAATTATTTGCTTAGTAAACAAGTTAGTGCTCATATGAGAACCGTTTGAGCTCCAAATATTAAAAATCAATACTCATCTTTACATTGCATTTAAGTATCTAGATATCCAAATTACTCCACAAGTCACTGAAAGTTAAAAACACAAGTTTTTAATTATATAATTATATAATTTGTTACTACTTTGAAGAAACATTTTTGAAAGCATAAATGATCACTTGAGCAATGATAAATCACCAGTCTAAAAAAATGTATAGTTGTGGTGTATACCTCGAGTCCTAATGTCAAATCAAAAATTAACAATTGATGCAGAAAGTGTTATGAAATAAATCTAATGAATATCAATGCATCTTAAAAATTTAACCACCACCTTATCAGTGCCTATAAAAGAAACAAACTTGTTCCTGATAAAATATTATTTACCTTTACATACTATTTAATACATAACTGAAGGTGATAAGAATGTCTTCAGTGGATCAATCTTTCCTTTTTTTCCACTTTCTTCTTTCTGGTAGCCTTTTCTTACTCTCCCACAAAGAATAATCTACATAACTTTAAATACAGTTTAAGAAATATACATCATTATTAAATATCTCTTCGGAGTTATTTCCTGAGAACCTATGTGCAAATACAGAGGATAATAAAAAGTAATTGGCCGCTGTTTGTTAGGGACAGGCAGAGCCAAATAGATGAACATAATAATATGAGTTAGGGATTATGATACATTCACACCTGTAAGGAGAAGGCTGTATGATCCTTTGGAATTAAACACAGCATTTACTCAACCCAGAGTGGACCTCAAACAGGCCAGCCCCGAACCTACTGCTAGGCACTGCAGAAGAACACTCAAGAAAAAACAAAAAAGGCAAGGTTCCATCTCCAGGAGCTCGAAATAAGGAAGAAACAGACACCATTAAACTGATTCAGGAGCAGATTGTAGTGGGTGCTATAAAAAGAGCTCAACACAGTTTGCTCTGAGAGGCTGGGAGAGGAGAGAAGAAATATAATGGGAAGAATCTGGAAAGGTAGGCAGGGGAGGCAGCTTCAGAGTAAGCTTTCAAGACAGACCAAGACTTTGACAGCAGAGGTTATGCTGTAAAGCAGTATAGATTAACTGTTCTTATCGTGCTCAGAATTATAGCCCTTCAAACATCTCAAAGGCTTGGAAAGGAAACTAAGCACTGCATGAACAGGAGTCAGATTTGCCTCCTCACTTGTGGGGTATGTGCTGCATGGAAAGGGGAGAAGGAAGGAGTGTATGAATGTCCCCTCTCTTTCACTCACGTAAATACATATGATACATCCTTAGAGCTGAGATTCTGTGAAATCTAGGCTCGCTTTAGAAGACAGAGGATGGACCAAAGAACATAATTGAGCCCACTTTGGAGGGCCACCATCCTCATTCTGAGATTGTCATACTGCTGTATGGGTCACTCTGGCCTTGACATAGTTATTATTCCCTACTTTGTGATTTCCTTTTGACAAAAGCTACTTTTCTTCTTGAGCTTCCCAACTTGGTTCCAACTTAAAAAACTGAACTTAAAAACTTGACAGGACCAACGCTCAGTATATTCACTTCATCTAATTCTGGGCATTAGTGAGCTTAGAGTGTTTGCAAACCAGTGTAATTATCAGCATTCCTGTTTAGCGGAGATGACTCCGGAGGTGGTCATATTTTTAGAGGTAAAAAGCAGAACACAAAAATGGTTAAATCTGACAGAGAACAGATGATAAATACCGTAGCAACTGCAGAGTACACACTGTGAAGAAAGGTATTTGGAACTATTATATGTTTCGCCCACATTCTCATCATCTTGGATCTGAATCCACATTCTGACCCCTTCTCTACTACTGCCTTCCACTGCTTTCTAGTGTTCTAAAAAATCCAATAATTCTGTATAAAATAGCCAAATGCACCTCAATTTGAAATTTCTTTAAGAAACCAAGTCAGTGCTTATGACTTCAAACCTCGAGCTCGAACAAAGACTACCTTTGCTTCCAGGCAATACAAAGGTAAAAACCTCCTAGGAGTAGGTATCAGCCTTTCCTGGCGACTCGGTTGCCTTTTATCTTCTTAACCCAACTTTAGGTATACTGGGTACATACCAGAAGTACTCAAATATATTCTGAATTTCAGTTATTAAATTGCTACACATTCCTAAAACAACTGATCTTCTTTCTGGTTTAACATACATTTGTTACGTGTGCGTGGCCTCTGCAGACCAGAAAGGTATGACTTGGCTGAATCCCTCCCATAAGAAAACCACAGAAGTACTTATCCGCCAATCACAC